CTTGTCAGAAGCTAGGGGAGCATTTGTTCACTTGCCCTGTGCTGGAGCAGAATGGTTGCAATGCTGCAATGTTAGAAAACCTCCTCAAGATTGTGCAGCATTACCTATACTTGTGAGTAGGCAGTGCGCCACAACCACAATAGAATGATGAGCATGCGTCACAAGAATACCTTTGCTGATGCGGTCTTTGTTGCGGTAGCAACGAGATGGGTGTGGAATGGTGACGATAGCACTGGAATGGATGTTTTGGTAGGGAAGAGAGAGAGAAGTACTCTCTGTGTAGTGTTTACATGTGTATGCATGCAGGGGAACCGGTGTGCATCAGGTCACGTGTTCTGACAATGAGTGCCTTGGAAGTAGGGGAGGAATCAAGGATTGAACTCTGGCTCAACAATACGGACATTGTTGCGGCTTGCATGGTATGCGCGTGACCCCTCGCTTTTGCCCAGAAAATTGGCCATGCTCTGCACTTGCTGAAGAGCATGGAAGCAGCAAGTGTGCATGTGAGCAGATGTTGTTGGGCAGAGGCTTTCTGCATATTGACATTCAACTTTGCCTGCATGACAAGCCTTGTGCAAAGCCAAGGAAAGCACTCTTAATTTGGAGCCCACCTCTGCTCTTGGCGTGGCAGCCTTTGGGTTAGGGTTACCTCTGCTCTTGGCGTGCCAGCTTCAACCCATTGTCTGCTCTACACCACTCAATTTTGAACGCTATGGGCCACAAGAACAAGCGCAATTGGGATCCAGCCTTTGCCAAGCCTGACAGCATCTTTGCCTGCCAGGTGCATGGTCAGCAAGCTGACCAGCAGCAAAAATAGAGTGCGCTCAGCATGCTATGTTTGCCAGCAAAGCTCAGTGGACAAGCAGGCAAGCCTTGAGGCAATGCTGGAGAAGCAAAATAGAGAGATCCAGAGGCTTTGCAAGAGGCTGGGTCTGGATGGCAGTGGGAGCAGTGCTAGTGTTGAGATTTTGAGCAAGGTGAGTCTTTTGAGTCAAAAGAGGCAGAGAACAAAGCTGATGCTCTTGTTTGCAGGAGCACACAGAAAGCTCAGCAGTGTGTGCTTCTCCTGTGGTGGACATGGAAGTGGCAAGCAAGGTTCAAAATGATACAAGCAATGTACCGACAGGCAAGGTATCCAATGTCAACAGGGCTGAGTAGCTCAGCCATTATCTGAATGCACGTGCTGATCACCTGGTGTGGTCCAGCACTGCAACATCTTCAGTCCCAATGCAGCAATTTTGAAGGAGACAAATGATCCTCTGATTGCTGAACAAGAACAAAAGAACAAGATCATCTGAGCATGCAATGCAGAGATTGCCAGTCTCAAAGTATGCCCAATTCCCTAGCAGCAGCTGCGCTAATCAATCAGTGCTTACAGACGCATTCTTTCCCATCCTCTCCATTCACTCCCTTGCAGGCGCTTCTAGAGTGACAAGGGCACAGTATGCAAGTCAAGCACAAGGACACAACAAAAGCCAAGATGCACAGAGGTCATCATGACTGCAGCATCCAAGTGAAGGACAAAGACAACAAGAAGGATGAGCTCATGGAGGAAGATGAGATGGTACCCAATACAGAGGAGTCTGAGGTGGGTGAGCTTTGTGCTCAGTGGCGATGCGCATTCCTATATGCGCAAGGACCAGGGGCCTCTGACGTGACGGATGCGAGGGCGCGCCTTCATGCCGTTCAACACCTAGCGGAGTCCATGGCTCGAGATGCTGCAAGGACGGAGGGGCACTGTCAAGTACGTTGGCACGACTCATGCTATCGACGAGGTCAGCGCGCCGCTCGCTCGCGACGCAGCAGATGCCAAGCTCACCGGCACCGTGCGACGTGCGAGATGGTCGCCTGGCAAGTGGCGCGTGTATGCGCTTGTGGACGGATACCCTGGTGAGTTGGGCGCTGGACCAGACTTGCCGCTTCGAAGAGTCCGCTGACGGTGCTCCAGGCTGACACTCTGCTACCACGGACTTGACCACGTTGGGATGGCAAAGATCATGTCAAGAGCAAGACGCAGAGCGCGCGCTCATTGCGCTCCGAGGACCATTGTTGGCCAATACGGCAACGGGCGGGCTACACCTCCGCTTCAGCCCCAACAAGCAGTATCGCCAAGCTGTGCGACGACTACTTTGCCACGTCCCATCAGGCCGTCCAGAAGCAGCGTCGCGCGACCCCAACATCGAGGAGTTGGTGCGCGAGCATCACGCTATAGTGGCTGAGCACGAGACCGTGCAAATGGCTCCTGCTGCGCTAGAGCGCAGCATCGACATGGCATCCTGCGCCGCTTGCTCCCGTCCAGATTGTCCGTCGATGATGATCTACAAGGATGTCACCGTCGAGGATCTTGCCAACGAGGCAGACGACTTTGGCCTCTTTGGTTGGGGATGCGGACAAGGCCCAGAGCGCATTCAACGTAATTTGGCCATGGTCGACTTTCACGAAGAGGCCTGGCCCTACGACGGTGTCACAAGAGCGAGTGATCCCCCAGCATATGCATCCAGATTCGTCATCGACTTTTGGCCCCATGGTCAGCGTCACGAGAGAGTGCTTTTGCACCTGATTGCGGCTCTCCGGATGATTATCGCAGAGAGTAGAAATTGGGCTGCTCTAGCGACCTCGCAAACCTTTCCTGATTGTCTTGTCCAGACCGGAGCTCGCATCGTTTGCCTTGTGTCCTCTGAGGTCACTTGCTTTCTGTTGCGACATTTCAAGGACACTCTTCAGCATCTCAAAGGGATCCTTGGGCCACAAGGGCTGGCTGATGTGCTGCTTGGAAGAATGTCTCTACAAGCCTTTGCAGAAGCAGTATCTGAAACAAGCAAGTACAGCTACAAGCTGCTCTCAGACGCCAAGCATGCAGGCTTCAGCATCACACAGGAAGCAGGTCATGTGTATGATTTGACCATTGAAGTTCTCAATGGCAGCATTCCTCTGCTGCAGCATACTCTGCTTATCCTCTCATCTGTCCATAAGGGGGTCATCAAGTACTGGCCTCTGCTTTGCAAGCACTATAGCAGACTGTCCTACATCGACACAGCCATCTTCTGTCTAGCTGAGCATCACGGCAGGCCAGCAAAGTTGTTGCTGGAGCAGGTGACTCCCAACATCTCCAAGATGCTCATCGAGATGAAGCGCGCCATCCATTTGCTGCTCAAAATCAAGCTGCTCTACTATGCGTCCACAACCCAGCCCTCTTTGGCCTTGCCGTCGACTTTGCAAGGCAACGACCATCGGCCGGCTCAAGCTTTGCAGGTCAACAGAGCTCTGCTGGCGCAGATTTTGCGAAACACCAACTGTCCAACGGCTCAAGCTCTGCAAGGCAACAGCAAGCGTCCGCTTCCCACGACCAGCAACGATGCTCCGTCGAGCAAGCGTCCGCTTCCCACGGACAGCAACGATGCTCCGTCGAGCAAGCATCGGGCGCGTCGAGCGCACCAGTCGGCCGATGAGGAGGATACTGTTAGACGCGTCAGCCGTCACCACCGCCTGGACCCACGTGACCGAGACGCGCGCCGCGCTCCCCGACCGCACACCCGGACCGCTCAAACCTATCCCTGTGCGCCCGCGGCATTTCCCCCCTGCTTCCTTTCCCCCTGTCGCAATTATTGTCTTTACTCAGCTATCCTAGGATTCGCCCCGCTTCTGTGCCATAGTCACCGAAGCATCCGAACCTTCTAGCAATAGTATAGCATACTTGCCTGATCACCCGAAGTACCCGAGCCTCTCGAACCCCATTCCCGGGCTTCCCGAGGCCTCACCTGAAGTTCCCGGACTACACGAGTGTAGCCCTGACCAACCCGACCGGTGCTGTTGACGGTCGTGACAGATACCTCGTGGGCCTACGAATCTCATCTGTGGATAGCTGGTAGTTGGATAGAACACGTCCCCTTGGGAGAGAAAGCGAGCTCAAGGTCGACCAAAGCTGGGAAGCCGCACGCGCCAGGCTCAAGCGCTGTCCCTGATAACGCTCGCGCAAGCCCCGCCCACGACGAGAACGAATGCGTATCGAGCACAGCTGCCACTAGCATTAGGAGGACTCGCGCATCGAGGGCGGCCAACGAGGAGGATGAGTGCGTGTCGAGCACAGGCACCGTTGCGAGGGCAGCCACAACCAAGCAGAGTACAGCATCGCGCTCGACAAGTACAAACAGAAATTCTGCTCGTGCTCTCAATTGGCCCTTTGCCCATCGCCAGCAAAGCCTGTTCCTTGGCGCACCTGGAAGCGTGGAGAGAGCACAACAATTTGATAATGATCTGTTTATGCCTTTCCCCAAAGGAAAGACCATGGAAGAAGGTCGCCAGTGGTTCTTGGAGCAGGTTGAAGGCCACCAAATTGGACCTTCCATTGGTGGTGCCAACTCTTCTGACATCACCTTTCAAGCCAGAGACAGCTTTGATCAGAGAGCTTACAGGCTAGCAAAAGCTGCTGCAGCGGCTGGAGGTGAAGCCAAGCTCAGGGACGCTCCATGGGAGGACACTTCTGCGTCCATGAAGGGGCACCAGTCTGCTGCGCAAAAGACCACTTCTTGGTCCTTGGCAATAGAGCATAGAGATCTAGTCACGGAGCTGGACAAGCTGGACGCAGCTGGTTCACTCAACAACGGTCTGCCCACCGCAACGGTTCATCAGCTGGCAGATCAGCATAGAGTAAGCCGCTCAAGACTTGTCGACTTCATTAGGTACAAATACCGAAAGTCTTTGAACGCATCGGTTGCAAGCAGCGAGTGCATCTGCCCAGGAACACAGGTTGAAGGGGCCACATCCCCTGACACAGCTGCATCTCTGTCCCCAGCTCCATCCCTTGTCCCGACCACAAGGGGGCAATATCGCTCAGCAGCCCAAGATTGCAGCCGTTCACCAGCTGGCAGATCATCACAAAGTAAGCTGCTCAAGACTTGTCAATTTTATCAGGTACAAATACCAAAAGTCTTTGAACGCGTCAGTTGCAAGCAGCAAGCGCATCTCCCCAGGAACAGAGGTTGAAGGAACCATGTCCCCTGACACAGCTGCGTCTTTGTCCAGAGTTTCATCCATTGTCCCAACCACAAGGAGCCCAACCACAAAAAGCCGTCATTGCTCAGCAGCCCAAGATCTTGCACCTGGTCCGCTGAGCACCGAGCTTGTCCGCCTTGACGTGTTTCAATTTTCGGAGACATTGGTGATCGCGCTCAGAAAAGTTGGAGGTTTTCCCGACCGACATTTAGCTCCGTACGTCCTCGTGCGGATCTTGTAATCTGAAGCGGCACAACGCAGATGATGGCGTCTCTGTTCCATGCAAGAGCAAT